CCGTGGGCGCCCAGCGGCAGGGCGAAGCCCCGCCCCGGCGGCGACGCCCCGCCCCGGCGACCGAGCCCAGCCCCGGACCCGCCCGACCTGAGGGCGGCTGCAGGGAGCGGGCGTGTCCTTGGGTCGGTGTGCCCTTCCCCGGAGCAGCTCTGCGCCCCGAGCGATGACGCAACCCGAGTGACGCAGCCCCCGAGCGGTGCGCCCCCGAGCGGTGACCCCCGAACGGTGTCCCCCAGGGAGGTGTTCCCTCCAAGTGACGCAGCCCCCGAACGGTGTCCCCCAGGGAGGTGTTCCCCCCAAGGGACGCAGCCCCCGAGCGGTGCGCCCCCCAGGAGTGACTGGACCCTGGAGTGCGGCGCCTCCGGAGCCGTCGGACCCCCGACGGGCGCGACCTTTCACCTCCCCGCTCGGTGAAACGCATAGAGCTTTAGCGAGCAGTTCAGGCGCCTGACGCGGTGAAACCTCCCCGGTGAGCAGACGCTCGGAATCGGCCTCCGGTGAGCCCGGGCCGAGGCCGGAGTGTCCCCTGGAAGCGGCCAGCCTGGGCGGCCAGAAGACACGGTCCGGGGGACACTGGCAGCCGACAAAGGACTGGAGGTCGGCGTGGGCCCGTGTCGCTGTCGCCTGGTCTTCGCGGGGCCGCAGCCCGGCCCTCCCCTCCGGGCCCTCGCGCACTCGCCCGGGAAGGAGGCGGCTGGAGACCAGGACCCTGCGGACGCATCTTCAGATCCAGAGCCACAGGGTGGACCCCTTCCTTCCCTCTGCTGGGAACCTGGCCCAGATAAGGCACACGAAGTTCAGAAAGTGTCCCAAAGGCACTGTCCATGAAACCCGTGGCCGGAAGCCTACCTGCTGGTTTCATATAGGTTGTTTCTCTTTCTTTTTCCTTGCTGTGCAGTTCTCCCTACGCTCCGGACCAAGTTCTTGTCAGACGTGTGTGCCGTGTAGGTATTTCCTCCAAGTCTGTGGTTTGTCTTTCTATTTTCGGATCTGCCACGGAAAGCCCAGGCAATACAAGAAGAAATGGAGGCACGGCGTTACCTCAAAATGTAAAACTCGGCACGATGGCCACGCTGGGGGCGCAGCGGGGTGAGGGGCACCAGGCCCTGTGCCCTCTGCCTCTCCCAAGGCTCCTGGCGTCCGAAGAAGGGAGCTCACGGCCCAGTTCAACAACTGCGTGCTGGCTCTTCTCTCCGTGGCCATGCGGATGGCCCGACAGAGCCTGTGTCCTGATAGGCAACCCGGCATTTGGCAGCCATGACCTGGAACATACGTTGTGCAGAGCGCGGCAGAGTTAGGCGCAGGCCAGTGCAGCAGGGCAGGGGCGACACTGCTGGCGTGGCGGGGGAGGCACGGCCCCCAGGGCCCCCACCTCTGCTCACTGCTCTGTGCTAGCACCCCAAAGCCGAGCCGAGCAGAGGCTCCGTGCAAGAGGAGGAGCTGTCGGTGGGCGCCCCGAGTGTGTGGCGCTGGCCGGTGGAGGGGCTCGTGGTGCAGAAGAATGTGTTCCATGCTCTTCCGGGCTCCGGCCCCAAGTGCTCACAGGAAATCACACTGAGTAGCGCACTTACTCTGCCAGTTTAAAGGGGCTGTTGTGGGTGTGGCCTTGGTGTCCTGGTGGCCTGGTGTGGAGCCAGGGCATTCTGTGAAAGGGAGGTCTATGCAAAACGACCTCCTGGGGCCACTGATATCCAGAATATACACAGAGGTCCTAAATCTCAACAATAAAACCCATCCCAATTAAAAAATGGGCAGAGGATGGGGCACCTGGGTGGCTTAGTCGGTTAAGTGTCCGACTTTCGCTTAGGTCATGATCTCGCGGTTCGTGGGTTCGAGCCCCGCGTCGGGCTCTGTGCTGACTGCCGGCTCAGAGCCTGGAGCCTGTTTCAATCTGTGACTCCCTCTCTCTCTGACCCTCCCCTGCTCGTGCTGTCTCTCTCTCTCTCTCCTAGAAATAAATAAAACATAAAAAAAAAAATGGGCAGAGGACTTGAACAGGCATTTCTCCAAAGAAAACAGACACCTGGCAACCAGTACGTGGAAAGATGCCCCATCACTAATGACCAGGGAGGTACAGATCAGAAGTAAGGTGCCGCCCCTTGGCCGTCAGGATGGTGGCTGTCAAAACAGCAGGAACCATGTGTGCGGCCCCCCGGGCCCTGTGAGAGGCATTAACATGCGTTTCTGCAGGTTGGGAGGCGGGCGCGGCTGCATCTCCTCGCTGGGTCCACGTCCGTGTGCAGGGACACGTTGCCTGGATGGAAGTGGCCAGAGAAAACCAGCTTCACACGGAAGCTGGAAAAGGAAGGGGCGCGTCCATCACCTTCTCGGAGAACGTGGACCTTCTCCTCTGGGACAAGAGCAAACCCCAGCCGGGGGCAGAAGGCTAACCTACACTAGCTCCCCTTCCCCGTGGGTCGCAGCAGAGCCCTCCTGCCCCCCAGTCCATCCTGCTCTGAGCTCCGAACGGCCTGCATGGTCCCCCGGAGAGCGCTTCCTGGGGCGGCCGCTGTCCTCACCATGGGGGGGGGGTGCTGAGACTGGATGAAGTGAGAGTGTTTGCTGCCAGATCCCCCAGGGGGTGTGGTGGGGACGGGACTGGCCACGCCGGATCCTCGCAAAGGAGTCCACGGCTTCCCCAGGCGGCTTGCGTACCCTCTGCTCATGCGCGAGCCCCCTGAGCAAGGCTGATCATCCCTTCGCGTCCGTTTCCTGGGTTGGTCATAGCACAGCACCATCTCCTGCGTGGCTAAAACAGCAGGAATTCATGGGCTCCGGTTCTGGAGGCTGGGGGTCAGAGATCAAAGGTGTGTCCCCTGGGCTGGTTCCTTCTGAGTCCTCGAAGAGCGAGGGTCTGTTCGTGCCCCCCGCCCCTCGCTCCCGGCCCCAGCTGCTGGCAGGGCCTGGGCCATCCCTGATGCTTCTCGACCTGTAGATGACCGATCACAGCGTCTCTGCCTCCATCTTCACCTGACGTTCTCCAGTATGTGTGCACGTGTCCAATGTCCTTATTATAAGGACACCAGTCACGTGGGCCCAACCTAATGAGCCTATCTCGTATGATTTTGGGGGGATACATTCAACCTCCAACACACTTCTGTATTGCTATCAAAGCAGCTTAGAGCTCAGGGTCCCTGGAAGAGTCCTGGGGCCCCCGCAGGCCCACTGCCACCCGTCAGTCACCCCAGTGGCTCTCTGGCGAGCCCTGTCCTTAATTGTGAGGAATCCAAACTCATCAGCTCATTTTATTTATTTTTTATTTTAAAAATTTTTAATGTTTTATTTTATATTTGAGAAGGAGACAGAGCATGAGCAGGGAGGGACAGAGAGACAGAGACAGAATCCGAAGCCGACTCCAGGCTCTGAGCTGTCAGCATAGAGCCCGATGTGGGGCTTGAACTCATGAACCGGGAGATCATGCCCTGAGCCGGAGTCGGATGCCCAATCGACTGGGCCACCCAGGCGCCCAGGTGGGGAGCCTATGTTTCTCCAAGCACAGAGCCATTTCTCAGTGCTGCCTCCACCTGTGAGCTCTTTCCCCGGTGACGTCCCCGTCCCCAGTACCACCTGCTCCAGGTAACAGGGGCACATCTTGCCTCCGTCCTCTTTCTAGCTGCCTGATACAGGCGTGAGGAACAGCCTACCCTGGCACCATCCCTTCCATGCACTAATTTCTTGGTAAATCAAATGTTTTGAAACAGTAACACAGAAAGGAAAAGGAAAAGCCCCTTCTTAAATGGCAAGGGAAGCCTCTCTTGCCTGCTGGCCGCCCCAGGCTCAGACGTGAGACGTGGATTAGCTGTGGGGGAGTGGGGGAGGGGAACCACGCTGGTCTGGGGAGGGCCACAAAGACACTCCTGTCCCCAACACAGAGACGGGCCTTGTTTGAGGGGACGTTTGCTGGCAGCGTAGCTGGGCCCAGAGTGGATGCTGGGCAGGCACCCCCCCGCCCCTTGCCCAGTGTGACGCTCCAGGCTCCACCCATGGTCAGACACTTGGAAGGCCCCGTCACCCCTGGGGCTGGCACCACCAGGCCCTCCCTCCTCCCTGCTTGGCCAGTCTGGTGTGGGAGGTGAGGAGGTGAGAAGTTAGGGACACAAATCAGGCCAAACTGCATGTGAGTCCAGCTCCTCCCCTGCTCTGGGGTACGACAGCCCCAGCTCCCCCTGACTCAGGCCTGCTGGACAGACTCGGGCCCACGTGGCCTGTCCCAGCTGAGAGGTGGGGCTTCTGGGGCCTGAGGGCTGGGCCCGGCTCATCACCAGACCAGCTGACAGCCCTCTCAGTCCCCCAACCCCACGAGGCACAACTTCTGCACCCGAGCCCCCTGCGGTTGCCCCCGCCCATCAAACAGACCAGAGGACTAAGCCCTCTGGACACCCTCATCCAGGGTTGGCCCACCAGCTGCCTGGGGGAAATACAGGTCAAGATGCCCCCCTTCTGGGCAGGTACTAGGGTGCCCCGTTTGCCAAGCACCACAGCACACAGAGATGCCAGCAGAGGGTGCCAGAGGCTTCCTCCGAGGGTGGGGCCCACGTGAGCTCAGGTGGGCCCTGGGGAGTAGTCAGGTGTCCTGAGGTGTAGGGCACAGCCCACTGTGTACTCAGGGACCCCTCCACTCCTGCACTGAAGCCTTCATAGCTGACAGCCAACCCAGTCCCATATCCATCCATCAAGCCCTCCTCTAAGGTGTATCCCTCACCCAGCTTGGGGCGAAGCTGGGGCCTTCTGGACCTCTGGCCTGAGTGGGGGGCACGGCAAGCAGCGTGGGCAGGGCTCCCCTCAGGCCCTCACCTCCCAGGAACATTCTCTGGGCCTGCTCGGACACACGTGCAGGCGAGGGGCTCCTGGGCGCACCCCGTGGAGTCAGGGATAAGTGGTCTCCCTTGGAAAGGTCACCACCTGGCCTCTGCCCGGTGGCTCCTACAAAGGGTGCAATCGCAGGTGGGCTCCAGGCTCACAGTGACCCCTTCCCCACCCACAGGAGACAGACACGTGGCTGCTAGTGTACTTAATTGGTTTAATGACATGGTCTTTGAACCTCGGTCATCTGTCATCTCTGCAGAGTTGAGGGCTCCAAGGCTCACCCACCACCCACACAGCACACGAGCCTGGCCTGAGACCTGGTCAGAGAAAGTTCCTTTCTTGGGCTCTGCCTTGGGGGTGGGAGTGGCATCGGGGTGGGGGTGTCTGAGGCCGTGCTTGGGTGACAGTATATCCAGTCCCTCCTCGCTCCTTTCTCCTTGCAAGGGTGGAGGGAGTTCAGCATGTGGCCTCCTCCAGGGGAGCCTGGAGCCACCCCCCGGCCACCTTTGGGGCACAGTGCCCTGGGTGGGGGCTGTGGGCCATACCTGGGGGCGGGGCCCCACTCAGCGCCCGGGGTAGCTGAGGTCTGCTGCCCTTCTGGCCCACAGCCCATCCTCAGGCACATGAGAAGTAGCAGCCAAGGGCATGTGGTTGGGGCTGGGGTCATAAGCATCAGGAGGAGCCCTCGTGTGAATGGGGCGGGGGGGCAAAGGCTAAGTCCCTGGCCGCCTCCTGAGGGCTCTGTGGCCTCAAGGAGAGGGGTCCGAAAGCAGGGAAGGGGGTAGGGCGAAGGGGCTCTGGCTTCGGGGACAGTGCCTGAGGGGCTGGCATCTCCAGGTGGCTAGTTTGGCGGAAGAGGGCCTTGGGGCAGGCAGATGCCAGCCGAGGCACTGGCGAGCCCGAGGACAGGCCATGTGCCGTGAGGTGCCAGCCAGCACCCCCCACCACCCGTGTCCACGGTATAAAATATACACACACGTACAAAAATACTACTCCATGCACTGGGCTGGGCCCCGCCGCGGGCGCCGGGCCCGGCCAGCCGGCTCTAGCTGTCCTCCTCCCCTCTCCTCTGGTTCTTGGAATGAAACTTGCTCATGAGTTCCTCCAGCTCCGAGCCACCTTGCTGCTTCTGGGGGGGAGGGGGGACAGCCTCAGCCCAGGCACCCACAGGCCAGGGTCCTGCCCCCTTTGCAGGCCACGTGGGAGCCCAGGCTTGGGGGGGCGGTGGGCAGCGAGGCGCAGAGCGCTGCGGGACGGCCAGCTCACCTCCAGGACCGCTTTCTGCACGGTGAGCTGGCTGTACACGCGGAACCCCTCCTCTCCACACACCTTCTTCAGCTCCCCCTTGTTGAGCGAGAAGAGCTGGGCCCCCGTCAGAATACCCAGGCTCTCCACGACCCTGGGGGTGGGGGAGTGGGCGTAAGTTTGGGCCGGTCGGGTGGGCCTCCCGCACCCCTGCGCAGCCCCCACCACCCCGCCCCACTCACCGTGGGCTGAAGGCCTTGGCTTCCAGCCACGCGCGGACCTGGTCAGGGTCGGACTCGTAGGTGAGCGGCAGGCCCACGGGCTGGCTGCGCTCCACGCGGAAGTGCCGCTGCGGCTGCGCTTTGATGTTGCTGATCTTCTTGATGAGCTCATCGTTGACCTCGTCCATGTGGTGGATCAGCTCTGCGGGCGGTGCCCTGCACTCAGGCCCGACCCCTAGCTGACCCAGGGCTCCCCACGCTGGTGGAGGACCCTCCTCCCACTGCCCCCCCAGGGGACCCCGGGCCTCGGAGTGCATCCATCTAGTGGCCCCCAGCCCCTGGCAGAGCGCCTCTCACCTTCTTTATTCCCCGCGAAGCTTGGGGGCAGCTTGTGGGTGGGGCTGGCAGGACCCCAGTATTTCAGACTGGCCTGCAGGGGTGGGGAAAGAGGTGAGGGGATGGGGGCGCCATCCGCTTCAGCCTCCCCCGCTTCCAGGGCCTGGTCAGCAGGGGGGACTCCAGGGCTCAGAGCAGGGGGAGGTGGGGGTGTGTTGGGAGGTGGTGGGGGATGGGGTGTGTGGGGGATGGGGTGGGGGGGGAGGTGGGGGGTGCAGGGTGTCTTTCCTGAGATGTGGCTGCGCCTGCTCCCTCACAGCAGCCGAGTGCCCCCCGCTCACCTGCCCCGGGGGCGCCTCCTCCAGACGAATCTCAGCCAGGATGTTGCAGGGCACGTAGCCAGACTGGCCACTGCGGTTCCGAAGCTTCCACCACTGGTGGCCATCTTCCAGCACCTGCGAGCACCCCCTCCTCTTGTCATGGGCACCAGCGCAGGGTGTGTGAGCCCCTCTTTACAGGCAGGTCAGAGAGAGTTCTAGGCACGTCTCCTCTGAAGCTCAGCCTCCCCCGATGCGGATGCCGCAACCCCCCCCACCGAGCTCCCCCACCCCCAGGCCGGCCTTCCATCCCAGCCAGCTGCCCTCCCTCCTTTAACTGTCCCCACCCGCTTCAGCAGCATCCTGCAGGGTGCCACTCACCTCGTGCATGTAGATCACCCCCCCAGCCCGCTCCACTTTCTGTCCCCCACTGGGTGGCCTGGATTCAGGACTGGCACCGAATGATGGCGCCTCAAGGGGTTCCAGGGGTGGGTATGAATGACGCGCCTGGCTGAGTTGAAGGGTCCCCCAGATGGGCACAGGGAAGGCCCATCCTCCAGCGTGAGCCCACCCTAGCCCAGCACAGGGCCCCGGAGCCCCCTCTGAGAGCCCCAAGATCGGGAAGCCTTTCAGGTGGGCTGTGGGGGGGGGTGGGCAGGCTGTGGACTCAGACTGGAGCCTAGGGGCCAGGGTCCCGGGAAAAGGGTTTGGACAGACGTGCCGTGAGCCAGCATCAGGCAGCCTGGCTCCTGCCTGCTGCCCCCCCCCCCCCAGGCAGCCCCCTCCAGCCCAGGCTCCTGCTCACCTCCAGGACCTCGTCCTTGAGCACCGACAGCTCGTTGGCATTACGGGCCGTGAAGTCATAGAGGACCCTGACGTACTTGGCCATAGCGGGTGCAGGTTCGTAGCCCCTGTGCGGAACAGGAGGGCTGAGGCCCAGGGCTGGGCCCGGGAAGCACGGCCCAGGTGCGTGCTGCCTCCTCTCAGCTCTCTGAGGTCGCAGCAGAGAGAGGCTGAGGCTTATCAGCCGGGAACAGAAACTGTGACAGCCCCAGAGCGCCCGGGGCCCCGCACGGAGGTGGGGGCTGCGCAGAGGGGTGGGACGCGGGGAGCCTGTGGGCCTGTCTCAGGGGTCCAGAGCCAGACGTGTACCTGAGAAATGACAGGGTCACCGCCACGCCTGGAGGCAGGTGACCACTGAGGGAGGCAGTCGGTCCACAAGCCCCCGCAGCAGAGGGCTGCCCAGGAGCTGCAGGGGTGCGGGGAGAGGGGCCGCCCTGACCGAGGCTGTTCTGGCCGCAGCGAGGAGCGGGCCTGTGGCTGCCGCCGGGCCGGGCCGTCCCCCGGTCAGTCTGGGCAGCCTCCTCATGCAGCGGCAGGCCGCGGGGCACCGCACAGGGGCGGGGGCTGGAGGCCAAGGGATGGAAACGCTTCTTCCAGCGCGGCCCTGCGCAGGCACCACGGACCCAGGCCGCTGATGTGGGGCGAAGGGAGGGGCACAGCTTTCGGCCCCTCCCCTTCTGAAACCAATCCTGGGATCTGCCAGGGTGACAAGTCTTCCAGGCAGACCCTAGGCCAGGAGTGGGGACAGAGCGGGGAGGAAGGAAGGGGAGTCCCCCAGGCCCTGCGTCTGTTGAAGTGCGTATGTGGGGGCGGGGAGGATGGCTGTCCTGCTCAGACCTTCAGTCTCCTCTCTGGCTCTGAGGCTAAGCCTAAATCAGCCCCAGTAGGTGACAGGGATTGGTGACCCCACTTAACTTCAGCAGCTCAGTAAACTCCTCACCATGATTCTAGAACATACGTGAGAAGACACAGAAAGAGGTAACATATCAGGGTGACAAATTTATGGGTAGTTTGGGACATTTTCTCTTCAGCTCTATGTCATAAAGTTAGAAGGAAAACCTGGTTCTTGTTTGGAAAAACACTGTTTTGAACCGCACGAACAAGGCAGCCGCCGCCGCCCGGTGGCGACATACTCCCATCAGAATCTCCATGTTTCTACGGCTGAGCGGCTCACTCTCGTCTGAAGGGGAACTTACCTGTGAGCATGCGGGGCGCTGACTGATGGGAGGCTGTCCCCCGGGGGCGCGGGCTCTGACGTGACGCTGTGTTTTGGGGAGTTTCGAAAGGATAGTCGGCTCACTGGAGTCGGCTGTGGGGAAGAAGGGCCACCTGCGCTTGGTGTGGGGTGAGGGCCAGGTAGGGAGGGGCGGTGAGGGCGGTGGACAGAGGTGGGCTGAGGGGGTGAGCGCGGCAGCGGGCCAGCGGGGGGAGCTCTGACCTCTTCATCCGGGGCCGACGCCAGCCCCTCCACTTCCCAGGGCGCCTCCTGCAGCACGTCCAGGGGTGGCTCCCAGCCGCTGTGGAACTTGGGCAGGTAGAGGGGTACCTGCGGCTCCCGTGGCCACTCAGAGCTGGGGGTGGGAGGTCCTGGGGGTGAGCCAAGCCCACCCATAGGAGCCCGCCCCACCCAGGAGACCACCCAGTCTGCCAAGTTTGCACCCCCTGCCCTGCATCACCCCCCACCCCTCCCTGCCTGCAGCCGCACCGGGGGCGTGTCCATGTCTCCCCCAGTGACTCCCACAGCGTCGTCTCCTTGGGGACTAGGTGGCCTCGCAGGAAGCCCACGGCGTCACGGGAAAGCATGGGGCTGGAGACGGAGCACGCGATGTCCGGGCCCCCACAGGTGCTGACGATCTGGGGCAGAGTGGGGTTCAGAGGAGGCCCCGCCCACGGGACCGCAGCCCTAGCTCGCTCGCTAGAGGCCCCGCAGGCCAGCCACGCTCACAGCGTGGATGCGTGGCCTCAGCTGCCTGCCTGAGGTGGGCACCTGCTTCCCCCCACCTTCAGTCAGGGGCAAACCACCCCGGGGCCCCGCTCCCCTGGCCCCAGGCACCAGGTCCAGCGGTCCGAAGAGGAAGTGCACCAGTTCTGCCGCGCTGGGGTTCTGGATGTGCTTCTGCAGCTTGGCCTGGAGTGGGGGGTGCAGACAGACGGGGTGGGGGGATGATGATGGGGATAAGGGGGGGAAGGACCCCAGGCTCCTCAGTGTCCCACAGACAGCGGGAGAGGATTACAATACTCACAAGCAGGTTGATAGCCAGCTTGATTTTCTGAAAACAGTCGATAAACTCGGCCTCGGAGGGGGGCCGTGCCCGGAGCGTAAGGACGCCCTCTGGAATGGGGGCAGTGGCTATGAACCTGGCTGGCCCAATCACTGACCCCAGCGGGCCTGGCCCTCAGCAGCCCACCTACTCAGGCTGGACCTCTTGAAGCTCAGTGGCCACTTGTCCCCATGACCACAGTCCATCTGCCTCCACTGCACCTCGGTCTCTCCATCCTATATTCTCCTGCATCCCCCCCACCCCCGCCCCGTGTCTCCCCCCTACCCCCCACCCCTCACCCCATGTACCCCCACCTTCTCCCCCGCCCAGTGTACCCCCACACCCTCCCCTGCCCCATGCACCCCACCCCCGCCACTGTCCCGCACACCCCCCCCCGTGTCCCTCCC